CTGCTGGTTCCCGCCGATCCGGTTACGACACCGCAAGTGCCGTACCGACTCGGGCGTCCCAGGTGGGCGTAACGGTTACCACACCAGTTCGCGACCCCCAGGCTCTGTCAGCCGTCGTACGGCTCTCGGACGGACACTCTAATAGATCAGCCACAGATCAATAGGTTGTCACAGACCGTCCGTCCAGCCACGCGCTACCCACAGCGCAGTACGACAAATTGGTGACCCCGACGTGATCTCCGTTGTTCAACCTTAGCCTCTCGTCATGCCGGCGGACAGCGCACAGTCCGGCGCCGCAGCTCAAGACCCAGCCAGCGTTCCAGCTTCAGCCTCCGAGTCAACTCATCGGCCCATGGCTAGCTTCCGGCTACCACCATACTCTCCGGAAGAGCCCGACCTGTGGCTACTGCAGGTGCAGTGCGCTTTCGACGTCAGCGGGGTCGACTCCGACGAGCTGAGGTTTAAGCTCCTCGTTGCAAACCTCCCCGCCAACATCGCCGTCCAGGTCAAGGACGTCATCCGGTCATCTCGGTCTTTTGACGTGCTGTGTGCGGCGCTCCAAGCCCGCCTGGCACAGTCACGCGCCGACCGACTACAAGCCCTGCTCGGCCGCCAACAGCTCGGCGATCAGAAGCCGACGGCGCTGTTGCGCTCAATGCGCAACGAGCTAGCCGCAGCCGGGGACGCCCCGGTTGATACGGAGCTCTTCCGTACCCTATTTCAACAACGGCTACCGCAGCCCGTCCGTGCTGCCCTCGCCCTCCTGCCAGCCGACAGCACGCTTGACGCACTGGCAGAAGCGGCCGACCGGTACCTGGAAGCTAGCGGACCGGACCCACGGCTATCAGCGATCGCGGCACAGCCGTACACACAGCCGGCACCGCCCATCGCTGCTGCAGTGACAGCCCCAGCGCCAGCTGCAACCCCTGCGCTGGACACCGTCATCGCCTCCCTGGTCGCTAAGATGGAGCGCCTGGAGGCCAGCAACCGACGACTCGAAGACGCCGTGCGACGCGACCGCAGCCGTTCCCGGCCGCGCCAGGCGCCTCGCCAGTCACGCCGCCCGTCACCGGCTCGTCCTTCAACGCCGCCGCACGACGACACGCTGTGTTGGTACCACCAGCGATTCGGCGCCCAAGCGCGCCGATGCAAGTTGCCGTGCTCCTGGATCGCCTCGGAAAACTGAGGCGCCCCGTGCTGATGGCGCAAAGCACGGGCGCCCCTCCTGCCGCGCCACTCCTCTTCGTGAGGGACACGGAGACGGACCGGCAATTTCTAGTCGACACCGGGGCGCAGGTCAGCGTGCTGCCTCGCCGCTGCCTGCCCAACGGGTCTACGCTGACCCCTGCTCCTGTCGGCCAGCAGCTCGTCGCGGCAAACGGTTCACCGATCGCGGTGCACGGCACCTGCCTGCTGGACGTCACCTTGAGTCAGCAGCACCGCCTGAAACATCGATTCTTCGTCACCGACGTCACCACACCCATCTTGGGCACCGACTTCCTGGCCGCACATCACCTCGTCGTGGACGTTGCCAACCAGCGTCTCCTGCGGGACGGCACCGTCTGCGCCAGCGCCGAGCGGTCACGGCTGTGCTCCATCGGAGTGCGTCTCGTCCGGGAGCAGGCTGCTGCTCGCTTCGCAGCTGTCCTCGCCCGGTACCCGGATGTGACCTCACCAAAACCTGGACCGACACCGGTGAAGCACAACGTGACGCACCACATCGTCACCAAGGGTCCACCGGTGTACCAGCGGCCACGACGCCTCCCGCTGGAGCGCCTTCAAATCGCACGTGCCGAGTTCAACAAGATGCTCCAGCAAGGCACCATTCGACCGTCCAGCAGCAGCAACAGCGGCAACAGCAGCAGCAGCAGCAGCAGCAGCAGCAGCAGCAGCAGCAACAGCAGCAGCAGCAGCAGCAGAGGCAACAGCAGCAATACCGGCAACACCACACTGCGGCTTCCCGGCGAGTTCTTCATCAGCAGCCAAGCCTCAGCAGCATCACCGGCCGGCTTCGTACAGGACCTGAAGCGCGCCATGTCTCAGGTGCGGCCGACACTCCCACGTCCGGTCCAGCGCGCCACGTACGTCCCGACGGCACTCCAGACGGCGACACACGTCTTCGTGCGCAGGGACTGTCACCGCTACCCGCTGGACGCTCCATACGACGGACCGTTCCCGGTTACCGAAAGGACCACCAAAACCATCACCATCGACCGTCGACAGAAAAAGGAAGTCATCAGCATCGACCGGTGTAAGGCCGCCTTCCTGGAGACGCCAGACGAATCCGGTCATCGACAGCCTGACCTGCCGACTGTGCAGCCGCACGGTACTCAGTCCAGCGGCCCGCCGGCCGCGCCACCGCTCAGCAATGAGCCCAGCGGCCCGGAGCTTCTGATCTACGGTGACGCACCAAATCGCCCTGCAGACGTCGCTCGGGCTGACGCTGCACCATTGCAGCCTCGGCCGATACTACGGACGACCCGCTCCGGCCGCGTCATACGACCTCCGGTAAGATATCGCCATGTCACTTTTGTCCGCGACATGTCTGGCGAGGGGGTACTGTAGGGATCATCTATGCGATTTGTCATTTCATATTGTCATTTTCATTTATATTGTCACCGCTTTATTAATCAATCTGTTACCTGTTGTCAATTGCGCGTCAAGTTTGTTTGATATTTGTAAACCGGCCTGCCGCTGGCCTCAACCTTCCTAGTAACCGCTGTGCCATACGCTATAGAACGTGTCGTGCAAAGGTCACGGCGGCACCCCTGAGGCGGCCGCTGCCCGTACGTTTAGGAGCCCATTGTCGTGACGTCACGCCTGTGAACAAAGGTCACGGTAGGGGCTCTCCCGGCAGCCGGACGGTGACTCATACGTTGAGCTTGTCTCTCGCCGCGCCTGCGGGCATATTGGTAGTACTAGGGACGGCCAGCATATGACCGCGGCTTTCGGCGACATTGTCAATTCGTTTCTCGACTCTGCTGTTCGCTACAAGACAAATACACATAGAAAACGGCTCGGGCATTTGGAGAAGAGCGGCTACTCTGAGGCGAGGGAAGAACACGGAGATTCACACAAACGACCTGACTAGGTTGCACCGGCCACAGTCGACCGAGGTGGGCTTCCGCGCCCTTAAAGACGCCTCTGACTGGCCATTGCGCTGACACCCTGGTCGGACCACGGTCATTGATCGGACCCTGCCACTGGTTCGTGCTCAGGCTGCCTTAGCGGGTAGACCTGCTCGACCAGACGCCCCACTGGTGGGCGAGTGCTCGGTTCCGACTTTCACCGCCGGTCCAACAGCGTTCTGCTGGTTCCCGCCGATCCGGTTACGACACCGCAAGTGCCGTACCGACTCGGGCGTCCCAGGTGGGCGTAACGGTTACCACACCAGTTCGCGACCCCCAGGCTCTGTCAGCCGTCGTACGGCTCTCGGACGGACACTCTAATAGATCAGCCACAGATCAATAGGTTGTCACAGACCGTCCGTCCAGCCAAGCGCTACCCACAGCGCAGTACGACACCCTGGACCAGCGATCGTTTTTCTCTCGTTTAGGAAATTCGAATTCTGATCAGATGTCACCATTTGCCCAATGCCCTGGGCTAGTATGTGTCTGCTTTTTGAAGCTTGGATAATGAAGTTTATTCCTCCTTGGTCCGACTGGTGTAACTTGTACGACTGGGGCACTTCGGCCATTCGGTCTGTTAATGAGTCTGTTGGACCGGACTGGCGCATCGCGGCATCGGCTGAAGACATTTGGCTCTTCAAGATAAGGGCTGACCCTCCCGGCATCCACGGCACAATGTTCAAATTTACGAACTATCGCTTTCCTCACTGTGAATGAAATCTTGACTTATAGAGACAATCTAGCGGTGCTAACTGCCTTTTTGCTTTTACGGGCAATATCCCGCATGAATAAAGTTGCCCGTCCAGTCCGGAGCAATGAATTGAGGCGTGGAGGGAAAGGATGTGACGGTCCCGAGGATGGAAAAGAGGGAACGGAGGTAATGTCAGCTTCATAAACTCCTGAAGACATACAGCACGCCTCCGGTTGCTCGATTCCCGTGAGTCGTGACATCTAGCGACAGCTGCATGAAGCTCATGCCGTGCGGTGCAGCATATCTTCTGGCGTTCGCTCATCGCGCCATCTATTGTCAGTTGTGTAAGCTGATGCCTTGCGGTGCAGCATGCCTTCAGGCGTTCGTTCATCACGCCATCTATTGTCAGTTGTGTAAGCTGATGTCTTGCGGTACAGCATGCCTTCAGGCGTTCGTTCATCGCCCCATCTGTTGTCGGATGGATAAGCTGTTGCCTGGCACCAATTGTGATACCTATTATTGTGAGTGTACCAACTACATTTCTATCTATATGTGGCTCTCTATATGTCTCTATATGTGGCGCGCTACGTTTGTTTATCTAGCATCGATACTATAACATACAATAGGTTACAATAGGTTATTGACCCGCAATAGATAGAACACACAATAGGTATTGGCGGCGGAAAAATTAGGTACTGGTGACTTTTTATGCTGCAGCAATGAATGGGCTATCGAGTGGTCGCCGGCCATCAGTACCTACTCAGCAGTAGGAACCCACTACCCACTACCCTGTCCAATACACGGTATAGTTTTTTTGCCTTTGACCTTAACATATGACCTTTAAAGTCTACCTGAGGTCACATTTTATGCTGTAGAATTTTATCTGGGAGATCTTTCGTTTTGTTCCGCTTTTGTTTCCGTAGCTTCTTTAATTACGGAGTTATACGGGGAACCAAAAACGCCCCCCTGGCTGCGGTGATTGGGGCTGCTCCCGGACCTGACCGGGCTAACCGGCTACAAGCTATGTCGAATTTCGTGGCGCTATGCGCTGAGGTTTTTCTTGCGCCTTTGGAGTGTGACCCAACATGACTCCCATTTCCCTCCCAACACCACCGCTATGGGGCGAGAGTTAATCATTCGTTGTTTTTGTTTTTACACGCCAAAACACACAAAAGTCATGCTTGCTATTTTTACGATATATTTGGCAAGGCAATAATACAAATACCGCTCAGCCAATATATTCAAGCACGTCTTAATTGTATAGCATGTTATAAATAAATAACTGCACATCAAACACCTAGGTAACAAAACAACACACGCATTTTACCATCGTTACAAAGTTGCCGGCAACACCTTGTGAATAAGTCTCAATCTCATGCTTCTTCGCAATTTCATCACAAATATGTGTTATGCTTTCGAACAAATAATGTCACAGATGCAAGCTGGCCGTTCAGGTTTTACTAGAATGTTAGGGATCATTTTCTGGGAGACAAACCAAGTTCTTTGTATGCGGTGCCTTACCGATTAGTTTATGTGACCAAAGAACTGAAATGATTTAGTTATTGCTGTATACAACCTGATTGACAATTTATCCAATGCTCAATTGCCTTAGGTCATTGATCATCAAAAGATAATTCGAGTTTTAAAGAGGCTGCTTGATATTGAAAATTACTGTAACTGTCAACGTCAAAGTACTACGGCCTACGAATACTAAACATGCCATTCTTGCTGGTCGATTTTTGTTGTTAGTTGGTCATATTGTTTTCCACAGTTAGGTTAGGATCATTTAGGGTCATGCCAGATGGAATGAAATGGATAAGGGAGACATGAGCATTGAGCATGATTGGCCTGTCTATGCGGGACTTCCACCGACCACCTCGGTGAGGCAGGCTCTGGCCAGTGGCCACCCAGTCGGGCTAACGGTCGTCAACGAGAGGTATGCTCCTATTGGAGCTGCCTTGACCAGGTGCCGGGGTGGGATGACCGTCAGCTCGGAATAAGGATGGAATGATAAAGGATGAGGATGGGCAAGTCCTGAGGTTTGGAAAAGAGAGATGCTGGTAAATGCCACCATTCAGTGTTAGTCCGGTCGAACACAGTGTGTCTCGTAGCGATTAATGCATCCGGTTCAGGTCAACATAGCTCATTTCACAAGTAAACAAACACACAGCAGCACTACGTCTGGAAACCTTGTACACACGCCGACCGTAACTCAACTCCTATCCAACAAGGATTTGGTTTCCATGGACAGGGATGTCTCCTGCTGCATGATCATTGGTCTGACACACACGATATCGCTCAATTCGGCAATGTTGCCGCTGCCAGCGCTGCCCGGCTCGGGCCAGCTCGTCGCCACACCGCGGCGACATCTATCACGTCATAGTTCCACCAGCGACCACTGGGCGGCGCTCTCAGCGGCCGCTGAAGCTGTCCAGTGGCAGGGCGGTGTCCTGGACGGTGTACTTGGGTCGGCAGACGCAGCCGGACTCGACCAGCACGTAGTCCTGGCCTGTGAGGGTGACCGGGCCGAGAGGTATCACCAGGAACAGGTGTGGCGTGTAGGTCTGCACACACTCGCCGTGCAGCACGTCACACTGCTTCGTCCTGCAGCGGAGGGGTGGGGATGTCAGAAGTTGGCAAATGCAGAGCCTGAGCACATGACAGTGCTGGAGTTAGATCAGTCTGGATCTCGAGAGATAGGTTAAAGAACAATGTTTGCACCCTGTACTGACGATACAAAACCCATAACACAGAACAAAACGGCTTCGATTTGAGACTATGGACCAGCAAATTGCAAAACATTTCATAAAAAGATCCTTGTATTGTAATGAGTCATAACCAATTACGAACAATTTTTATCTAAACTCTGGTAATCAAGATCACACTTATATTCAATCAAGAGTTACTATGTTCCGCATTTGTAGTATCCTCTCTTGACCACCCTCGTCTGTCCACCTAACTGGCCACTCACTCGCAAACCTCGAAGATGACTTGCTGCAGGAGGTCGGGGAACTTTTGTACGATCGTCACCGGCTTTCCCGATGTCAGTGACACGCCGAACATGGGTGCCGTGGTGTTGTAGCGCGTCTTGCAGAGACGAGCCGGTGGTCCGGCGCACGATGCCGTCGCGGGGTCGGCGCTCGGAGGGGCGGCCGTGGTCGTTTTGGCCGTGGTGATGCCCGACTTCTTGGTGGTGGTCTTCTTTGTGGTGGCTGGGGCGGCGGTGGTGGGCGTGGTGGTGTTGGCAGCCACGGCCCGAGCTGCAAGCACATCCGAGACAGAGTTAGCAATGGCGATTTTTTCATGACTGATTCATGGTCGTTCTAATGTAGCGTTGATAATCAAAAGCTTCCCATACCATTTTTACATCACATCACATCGTACAACATGATCATACTGTGCATGATGGACACTTTCACGGGGTGCAAAGAGACGATCTCAAATCGCGGCTGATCCTTATAATCGACTCTCGCTGATGCCGATTAATTGTCCTCACGGCGTAGCCATCCGTCAGTCCTCCTCCCGATACCTACCTGTCCTGTGGTGGAGAGTGCTGAGGTCCTCCCCGAACTGCAGGGCGCTGTACTGGTTCAGCAGCGCCTTCCGCACGTCCAGCGGGTCCTTGGTGCGGAACATGGTGCGCCCCCGCCGGCTGGGAGCCATGCTGCGGACCAGGGCGTCCACCGCCGCCCTGGAAACGAAAGGGCGGGTTTCAGGTCAGTTGAAACTCACTTGATGAGAGTCAAAGAGCTCACCTTTAAATCAGTTGGGCTAATGGGAATGTCAAGTGCTAATAAGTGAAAGGTGCAAGTGCGAATAGAGAAAAATGGACTTTTTCAATTAGACATAATGGATATTGGCTATATGGTTGAATTGACGGCTAGACTTATTTGTTGAATCAGCTAAGTTTATGCGAAGAAGCGACTCACTTTGGGTAGGGCCTGCCGTCCGGTCCGTTGCAATCCAAACTGGTGAGCGCGTCACCCCAGAGGTTGGCCATCCTGCCCTCCCCCGCGCGAACACACTCGTTCGCCGCACCGACCGCCACCAGCTGGAGATAGAGAAGAAATATCTAGGTCAGTCCACAGTCACAGGGGTCGCGTTTTGTTACATCCCTCTGGGGTCGAGTTTGATTGTACGGGACTAAACTCTCGCCGCATCAATGGGTTTGTCTACAGACTACATACATACCGTTTTCATTTTTTGCGGTTTGGGTGGCAGAAAGGGCGTTTTGAGTTATGACCACGTCACCATTTCGCCTCTCAGCAGAGCCTGGCAAAAAAAGCGAGCGTGTCATGCGCCGTTAGGAGATTTAGTGACTATTGATACCCAATTTAGATAGTGCCGGGCTGAAGCAGACAGTGTTAGCGGTGCCATCTTCTGATGGATTTCTCGCGATTGCTTGTGCGGGACCCGTCAGCTATACCTATCCCTCGCCCGCACATGGGGGGGGGGTTGCCACCCCCCAGGCAGTCTTTCTGCTCTGCACTCAACATTTTTAGAGCTAGAAGGCTGATTTTTCGTATAGCTGCTCCTCTATCCTTTCTTGATGTCCACTGAAAATTTCAAGTTTCTGTGGTTTTTGGTTTCGGAGATATGACCTTGTTTTTCAGATCATGTCATGACCCAAATCGCCAATTCTCAACATCTTGCGTTGGCTATGGGCCTTGTGAGCTTTTGACACCTTGATTTCGGCCTTTTTTGCCAGTCTTACATCCCACCTATCATGGATCATGTTGTTCGACGATGTACAGATGTCAAGGTCAAGGTCAAGGTCAACCTAGGTCATCTAAGATAATTGCGTTTTAGGCAAGCGGAATTCACTTTTTGTGGATTTTTTTTTTTTTGACTGCATTTTTGGTAAAAGCTTCTCAGATCATGATTTCGTGTAATATGGACACATAAACAATCGGTGCACACATCAGTATACACACAGACACACACAGACATACAAACACATATAATTGACCTTGACCTAACTTGACCTGAAATGACCTCAGCAGCAAAAACCTGGTCGGGTAGTGTGACAAAGAGGTTCTAGCTGGCTTGGCACCAGAAAACGGCATCGTCATCGGTATATGATAAGCAGCGCACTGGATATCCAACGGTGACCCAAAACAGCAAAAATTTTTAGTTTGACCTGACCTGGAAGGTCAATGACTGACCTGAGAAGGTAAAACTGGGTATCATTGGATTCGTCTCTTCCCAAAGAATCTTTTTGGTCTTTACCGCTAAGCTCTATCTCCAATAGGAACGAAATGGCGCGGGGGGTGGCAACCCCCCCCCCCCCATGTCCGTTCTAGGATGGGAAAATGGCATGTGCGGGCGAGGGATATACAGAGCTGAGAGTTGGCATGCGTATCTGATCTTCGGTTTTAACCAGATCTTGTGACACAAACCGCATTTTCATAACAGTTCAGGTCACTGATCTATCACGTCATAAGTGATCCTCGGCACGATCTGAAATGATACCGAACTTAGCAACACCCTCAATGCCAGGAATTATTTCGCTGTAAGATGAACTTTCAGAAAATCATAAGCTCCGAGACTTCACAACCCGTACATCTCGATTTTACACCAGTCGAACTGTCGAACATCACACGGTAGCACTCAGTAGCAGCGGGTCAAACCCACCGGTCGAGCCGGCACCGTCATCTGACCCCGAACCCGTCTGTCTTCACGTCAGACATGGACACATATGTGGAACCCGTCTGATGTCATGACTGGTGTGGCCACTGCGACCTGTCCAACAGCAGTTCAGACGGGTCAACACGGGCAATTGGCTGGGAATTAGAACCAGCGGCGTTTTTTTTTCGGTACCGCGCTGGCCGCTGCACTGGGTAATAACGCATGATTGAGTGCGCGAATGGGTAAGTAGTACATACCAGTCTTGTCATTCTTGCATGATATCCATATAGTAGATTACAATGCCTACAGTTCCGCTAGCAACAAGAAGCGAATTGACAAAATACTTGGTTGCCAAGCTATTGCTTTGAACTAAACGATGACTTGGCTGTTTTGCTTCTGTTTCTGTCTAGTAGTCATAAAAACAACCATGACCAACTTAAGCATAAATATATCGTGCATATTGACTCGACATCGACAATATGTAAAATCCCGATTCACGATCGAAGATGACATGTCACACAGCAAAACCTTGTTCTGGACAGACTCGTGCTAAATCCGGGTGCCACTGTCGTCTGCCTGGCACAGTGCCCTGTGGGTCATTTCCCACTGGTGTATGAGTGAGCGCGTGCCACGGGCCGGCCGGCCCGGCGGCTGGCAGGTGCGTCACTCGAGTACCGCCTGCCGGACTCCCGTTACCTATACCGGCCTGTCCGCGCGTGGGAGAGGACACCGCGTGTCCGCTGGGAGGTCCGATTGGAGGGTCGCTCGTGTCCGGACTCCGGTGATTGGATTGTCGCCGCTGCTTCATCGCGACCTGACAAATGCATGCAGTTCATGTTCCAAGAAAGTATACAAGAACGCTGTCTGCCGTTTGAAGTATTTACCACACCATTCACGCAAACAAATGCGCCCTTGAGTATAAAGCAATCAACATTCTTGGACACAACCTCCCGCAATAGGCACCTTCACCTTTCGACGTCCAATGCCCAACCACGACCGAGCTGAGCAGTCGTACATGCGCTGCACCAACATAACGCATCGATTTCCGAATCCACGTCAAAGCGGCCTCCAATGGGCAGCACCGGTAGCACCTCACGAGCCGCTCCATGTGAACGTTCCCGTGTTGGCGTGGTGTCTGAACGCCGGCCGACCCGTGCAAATATGTCGCCGTCGGTCTTCACGGCTGGCTGACTGTGCCCTGGCGCCGGCCTCCGGCTGTGGCAGGCGCAGTATCGGTGCCAGTCGGCCCGCTCTGTTCCCATTGCATGACTGCCGCTGGTCCACATTGGCCAGCGAGTGTCAACGGCACGGAACGCCAATGGGCTGGCGAAGAATGGAACAGTGCGATGAGCGCAAAAACGCGGCATCGCTATGACACGAGAAAGGTGATAAATGGTGTCTAATAGCGCCCATTTGTGCTGTGCTCATTTGTGTCCCGATTTCGTGCATTGTTAGGTAGGTGCGAATTATGCGCCACTCGGACACACTTTAAATAGAAATGCCAGCGACGGACGAGGGAAGCAAAACGATACGCAGGCGCAGCAAGGCGGGCTGTGGTTTAAATCTCATTAACCAATATACATATGGATAGCAGATAGTTTAAAGTGGGAGAGATAAACTTGAAAGTTGATGCTAACTGCTAAGCGCCTGATGGTGACGAATTGACCCAGCCGACTCGCCGCCCGGACGAGCGGAAGTTGCGACCTGAGTCACTGCGAGGTGAAAGCGACGCGATCCGGGAGAGACTGTCTGGGCTGTGAGGACAGTCCACCGCCCCGCCCCGACAACGGCCTGGCGCCATCTCATATCCCCGAGAGCCGGAACTGCACGGGATGAGGGAAAATATGGATGACAAAGGAAGTGCCACAGAATGCGGCTTTTGCTCAACGGCATGGAGCGGATATATGGTTACCGACTGCTCAGATGAGTAACTAGGGTTTCCACAGCACTCTAAGTCGGTAAGGATTCATACCTAGATACATGTACATGTCAGTTAAAAGTGTTGATTAATCATTTGTCAGCTACAAAACGGGAACGGATTTTTAACTTATAGAGGCACTTTGGACAGAAACGTTCTCAAACAAATTTACACCCAATTTCCAACGCCCTAACCGTCTCACGCCCCGGGTCACTCGCTGGGTTATCTCTCCGCTCCGACTCCCCTTCCTCTTCGCTCAGCCAACTCAGCCGTTCCCCAGCCACAAAGCGCCACCACTGCGCTCGCCGGCACCGCGTGCGAACCTCAGCTGATCCGGCGCCGGCCGCCGGCAGTGCCTGCTGAAAACGGGCCGCACTGCCACGTCCCAGTACCCTACTTTGCGTCGGACGGGCCCGCGAGCCGACCGGACCAGCTGAGAACCGGTGTGGTGGCGGCGGGTGAGCCGTGCGTCGCCCCGGCCCGTCTCTGATGGCCGGTTAGGCACCGGTGAGCCGAGCCAATCTCCGGAACGGGATTGATAGTTTGGCTGGTGTCAGGTGATGAGCCGGAATAATGGTGATACAGTGAGTTCAGGTAATGTGGTGGCCAAGGTAGGACAGCAGTGGCGCCTCGAGACATGGTTTGATAGACTGCTGAATAGGTACTGATAATTTACGTTTTCTTTGTAACAATGGTTACCTAATAAGAAACGTTACGAGTCCATAAAAGTGGATTACTAAGCATCCATGTTTTGTTATTTTAGAGAGAGAAGATATAAGGAACAATTATGAAATCCTAGCGAGTAGGTATAAATAAATTCATTTAGAATAACTACAAAATTATCTGATTGAAGTAACTACCTCGCGCGAGCCCAGGAGGAGAGGCGTTTGCCCCCCCCCCCCCCGGTCAAATATTTGCGATAGCCCCTGATCGCCGCTCTGGAGAAAGGAATGCAATACCTTCAATACCTTTCCTCCGATCCATTTGACCTCTTCTGTCGTAAAAATGTTGGACTCAGCTCATATATGCTCATGGGTGTCGATTTGTACACCTTTGGGGTGCTGCAGCACCCCCAATGCTCAAATGAGCACCCCCAATGGTTTTCCGGGCACCCCCAAATGTTCCAGTTAGCACCCCCAATGATTTTGTCCCACTCCCACTAACGAACTATGCTTGAGGAAAATAATTAGTTCCGTGGTCTTTCACTACTAAAAATAAAACAATTACGCAATTTACAATACATGAAATTAAGATGTAAAGAAAAGAACTGCCTTAAGAAGAAGGGCGAAAAAAAGACGTTAAGATGCAAAGACACTGGTGTGGGTCCGTCGTACACGGGTGTGGGACTCGGACCCTTAGAGCTGCCAAGCCGGCAGGGGGCTCCAGAGACCGGCGACGGGCCCTCAGAGCCAGAGGCCGGCAAAGGGCCATCAGAGGCCGGTGGTTACCTTCAGAAACCCTGTGGGGTCGTCTTTAGAGACCGGCACGGACTCAGACGCCGATGGGCCCTCAGAGTCGCCGGTGTAGGGCCTTCAAATGTCACCGGTGGGTGGCCGTCACATGCCTCCGCGCAATGTCCGCCCCTGCGGGCCTCAGGGGCTGCTGCACCGGTGCTAATCGCCGTCATCGGTTTCTGTCACCTTATTACAGAGGTGTCGGGGCTGTTGCCGAGCTGCCGGCAAATACATATACCACTTTTTTCGGAAAGATGTTTATGTAATAAGGTAGCCAAGAACTAGGACGAGCAGAAATAGAATGATTTCCAAGAAGAACGTTCTACCCTTGGGAAATATTAGTGAAAATCCCGGGATTATCAGTACCATATAGGGATACCCAACCCTGCCTTGCACGGTTGTGCCCCATGTCAAAGCTGCAATCTTTCACCCGGTGCAGGGGTTGAGCACCCCCAACTATTTTGAAAAATTGACACCCCTGTATATGCTTATCGGCTAACATGCAGCATGACCTAGCCGCTTAGACAACACTTTCGCCTTGACTTTTCAAGGTCAAAATAAAATTAAATCGACGTGTCTCGACGAAAAGAATGTGATACCCATTGCTAAGATAGATGTCGTTCGGCCTTGTGTCAAAAGTTAATTTGCGCCCCGCTGAAGAGGGGGAGGGGGGGGGGTGAGAATCTTTCCCTTGCCGTTTTTTTGTCAATGACTTCTCAACGCGATGAGCCGAAAAAAACATGATAAAAACATAAATATTGACGGTCTCCTCTTCGAGAGGCTCAACCGATGACCGCCATACCAAAGCTGAGGACACAAGTGAAAGAGCTGCTATAAAAGAACTATCGAATAATAACGTTGTCTCTCGTAAGGTCGCCAGCCAAGAGCCAATCTGTGTAAGCTTGTCAATATCGTGAGCAAAAGTGACCTTCTATGACTGCTGGTGAAATAGAAAATGGCCTTACTACTCACTAAATATTTTTTGACGACCTTCCAACCGCCGTTTACTATCCATGACGCCACGTGGCCCAAGAACCGAGTTAGAGGAGGAGGAGTGAAAACTTCCGCCTCGATGTGTTGTGATCAGACTAACGTCTTTGGGATGGGATATCTTGCAGTTCGACATGACGTGGCCTTGGCCTTGCCTTAGATGTGCTTGGTAACCAGATCTTCACTGGCCCATTGCTAAAATGTTAACAACCTCTACAGAAAATATTAATCTCGGGGCGGTGATATACTCGTATGTGGGCCGCTCAGGATCCCGGTCCCGTCGCTCAAAAGGCTCGGACTGCACGCCAGAGGCTGTTGAACTCGCCCCAGTAACGAACCCTCTGAAATGACACACGCTCAGGCCGGACGATAGGAACGACCGGAAACCGGTTCAGCGGATGATCCCCGGTGAACTAGGCCACGGCCGAGACACGCTCTTGGGGAACGACCTCAGAATTACCGGCCGGATGACTAAGCTATCCTTTGTACCGGGCGAACGTTGGTCACACGTTAAATGCTGCATTGAATATCGATAATTAGGTACTTCAGCACCAGTGTCCCATCAAAACGTAGCACTCCATCCGACCGTCATACAAGCCTAGGTATTCGAGAATCCCAGTGCCTGGTGACAAGGCTAAAGCCACTTTCGTGTGAATATAAAATGATCTCTAACGTCTTACCGAGACGGTGCGCTAGCTGACGCCTGAATAGGCTCGAACCTCGGATTTTTTGTTCGCCCATTCTCTAGCCGCTAGTGGCACGCTAAAAAACGACCATTCGACTAGACCGTTTGCTGCCTCCGCACCTACGAGTATCGCTCGCTGGGACGGGTATCGTCTGGGTGACGGACGATACTCGTCCCAGGGTCAAACACCGGCTCGCGGGCGGCCAGCGACACATAATCGGGTGCTCGTGCACGTGCCTGGGCGTCCGGCTCAGCCGGTCACGGGGCGGTTTCTAATTATGCATACCGAGCAAATGTCTGATGACGTCATTCTAGCCTGCATAAAGTTTGTGACGTCACACAATATTCGAAATATCACAGCAGACGACGGGGTGGTGCCTGGTGTTCGATGACGTCACAGAGTTCGCCGGTGGGCGATGTGAGTCTCCCGGCGCGCACCCAACACGCGGACTAGCGGTCGCCGTCCCCAAGGGCGTTTCGCGGAAGTCGGATGGCGTTTTACGAAACAGCGAGGCGGCCGCAAACTGGCTCCAATGCGATGTTCGGAGGCGCAGAAGGGTTGAAAATGCGTAGGTAGTTTCGTAATCGGCTGCGTGGACAATGCAGTTATTGCAACATTTCCCGTTCGGTCGCCATTTGAAGAGCAAATAAGTTTGGAAATCCTCTAGCTGCTCGTGAGCAGGCAGAGCTTGTTATCGCGAGCCACGAATACCTCTGTGGAAGCTAAAGCAAAGCAAACTGTGACGGAAGGACAGATTTAATATCTTACGCATAAAAACGAAGATGAAAACGATTTGTTAGACCATTTCTTGTACTTACAACTTATTTTGACAGCGACGTACTGCACTTTTTAAATACGTCCATTGCCTTTTGAATAAACGTATCAATTATATCGTCATTTGTATTCTTACTCTGCACATAAAAAATAGTTATTTGTCGGGCGAACAGTGAACACACTGTTTTTCGGTGATAAATTCATTCGACGGTTGGCTTAGAAGTATGTTCTTTTTGCATTCATCAACCTTTTTAATATTGCAATTCAAGTCGACTTTGGGGCTGCTCGAGCTGACCCTTCCCGTGGTCGACCCCGTCTCCATATACCGGTACTCACCGCCAATAAGACGAGGCTCGTTTCCGTCTGCATCTTGTCTATGCTCCACCTCAGTCGGGTCAGTCGAGCCTGTCGCCTCGTTCCACCCCACACTGGACTCTCCGCACCGTCAGCACGATTCCCCGGCTCGGTCACCACCCTCTGCCGTCACCGCGCGTCGCGCTGACACCCGTCTTCAGAGCGCGGTACCGGTCCGAGCCGCGAGAGAACGCCAGTCAGTGACCCTGGCCGGAGACAGCCGAGAGCAGCCGAGCGGCACGAGAGGTCGTGACAGCCGGCGACAGAGCGGGCGCCGACGGACAGTCGTGGGAAGCGCAGACGGAGAGGGGAAGAGAGGAGAGACGGGACTGTGTGGCTCGCTCGGCGGCCGGCGCTGCTCTGAGCTGGGGCGGCGCCGGCCGGCCGGCCGGCCGGACGCTCGGCGTGGCACCGTTACCGGCGCGGCGGCCGCGCGTGGCCCGTCCGTCCCAGCCGCGCCGGCCGGTCACCGCGCTGATCTCTCACAGATAGGCGCGCTGTTTGTGACGGCACGGTGGACGGCCGGCCACTGGTACTTCAAACTCAGCGCACAAAGCTACAACGCGGTGACAGGACCGCCCGGCTGCTGTTTTGACGGTTTGCCGCGCAAAGGCAGCGATTTGGGTCAGTCGCTCTCGTGCCAATATGAACGGGGTCACGGGGCATGGAGTGCCAGCGTGCGCTCGTGCGTTGGCGAACGTGTTTGCGTGCGTGCGTGACTCGACGAAAAATGGAATTTCGCGTGGCTGGATGGCGGATGACGCTTGAAATACAGAGGCGATGAAACGTGAACGCCAGGTGCGTGCTCGAAACGAACGGTGAAGATGTCAATTGTCACCTCATAGGTAAGGAATTTGCCGGCTGGGTTCGTATGCATGCCTAGAGATTCTTCCTCCGTTCAGCTGAAATGGAGCAGAGCGGTAGCCACCTCCCCAAAGTGTCTTCAGAAGCTCATCAGAATAATGCTGCGAACCTCTCCGACGTTTCGGATGCGTAAGTCCCTATCTACCGTAGCGTTGAATAGAACTAAAAAAAAAAAACAGCGATCAGCTTCTTCCTGCACCCATCCACAACGAAGCAGTCAGTACCAGGAAGGACAGTCCCATTACCTTCTATCCCACTGCCCACACATCGGACCAATAATCCCAGTCCTGCATCACTTATTCCTAATCCTAGCTCGTAACTTGTCCTCGACCCCGCCCCGCAGCCGGCCGGCCGGCCAGGTTAGGCTCCTATACGGCAGTGCAGTCTCCGCCTGTCGGGGCCTCCGCGCTGCCGGCGGCGGCGGAGTCGCTCGATCAGCTCCATTGTCCGCTAATTGCTGGCAACGCCGTACGCCTCCTGCCCTAAATAACATCGTGTGCACTCACGGGCCCGGCGCTCTGGGTCGGTGCAGCGCCATACAGCGCTGAGGTCTGGCCACCGGTCCTCGGTCGGTGGGGAATCGATGGACGGACGGTCTTCACGGATCGATGGCCGCGGCCAGCTCGCCCCTCCCTTCTCCCTCGTGCAGAAACCACCGTGGTCACAACCCAGCAGTCCGGGGAGCCCAACATATAGCACCGAGCACCCCTTGACGGCATAACTGGAGGCCCCGGTCACTGGCGTCTTCGGGGGAATATTTGCCCCACCCGTCCTGCAGTGTCCAAACTCCAAACTGACGTTTTGTTTCGGTTCCCTCTTCCTAAAGCACAAAAAGAAAAACGTTTAGATGAGGAAATATCGTTCTGAACTGCTACAGCTAAGCAGCGCATGAGCAAGCGAAACTGGGATTTTTATTGGGTATATGTCCGCGGCGTCCATAACCACTTCTCTGGATCCGCCGTAGCCTTCCGTGTATCTTCTCGAACATTCCTTTCATTTTTTTCTCCATAAAACACTCAGTATGGACTAGGCAGTGGATTATGTAGGTTACGTCGGCGTAACTAATCAACCTGTTGATCTCCGGTTCTATATTTTTCCCTCATTCGTTCCGGCCTGATTGCTGTGAACCAAAACAGCCGGCCGTTCCATGCCTGGCGTCGCCGCTCTGCCGGAGCCGTATCGTGCCGCGATACCATCTTCTCGCTCCCACCGAGCCATCAGGTCATCACGGATGTCCGCCCCCGTGACGTCATCGGTCTGTGTCCCCGCGGCGGCGCGGAAGACCGACCGGGAGGGAGGGGAGGGGGAAGTACTGCAATGGGTCAGCCGGCCGGGGAGGGAGGGAGCCGCATTCCTCGGCGACCACCGGCTGCCGGCCACCACACCACCCCACTCCCCAGTACCACCGGCTGCCGGTCACCGCACCGTCCAAATACCACCGGCTGACGGCCGAACACCGTCCGGTCCCCATCTCAGTAGTCAGTACCACCGGCTGATGGACGTCAGCCGGCAGACAGCGCACACAACACGGCCGCGTCAGAGCCGCTTTATTGCTGAGTGATGTGGTGGAAAAAAACATCCGGGGTGCAAAACGTGACACAGATGGCGGGCGTCCACCGGTCGGCGTCGGCACACACGCGGTTACAGGGCACGGTGTCGGGGTAGCCGCTACGAGCGGACCGCACCCACACTCGCGCCTACCACAGGTATGTTTGACTACTGGCACACTCACGGTGAACCTCATGACTAGCGACACAATGACACGAAGTTTTTGGTATCGTACATTTGGTATAGTACTTGGCGGTTGACTAGTTAAAGCCCCATGCAATACAGTGAGCATTTGAATAACACGCAAATCATACATGCAATAACACATGAAAGTAACGAAGCTACCAAAGGGAATATGCAAGGAATACATATCACACGGAATTCAGATCTGAAACGAATATATGGCGGTATACACGAGCATGCATAAACCTGAGTTATACTGCATTCTGACCAGCTGGAAAGACAGGCCTTGGAGACATCTGAATCATTAGAAATAACACAGTAACTTGGTCAACGTAACTTGGTCAACGAACTGTTCCAAACCAACGACCCGCCATGCGAAGACGGCAAGGATATAGCAACTGAGAGTTTGAGACAAAAACTACGGCTAGTTAGAACGAACAGGGGCCGGCCAAATTTGACATCAATGACAGCCAACAAGTAAGGAGTTAGACTCGGGAATGATTGTCGCGACAATTAGGTCTAATGTGTAGGCAAAAGGGAAGGGGCCAACAAAACATCGTTCATGTACTAGGCTAGCCGCATTTTCTAGTTATCTAGTTCACGCAGTACATTTGATAGACAGAAGGAAGCGTGCAGTGCGCAGGTGCAGTCTACTGAGCAGTGATGAGCATGCATCAACATTCTTGCATGGCTTGTCCAATCACTGCAGTGTTCATCTACATACATATAGGTACACAGAGCACTCATTCAATCCAACGTAACACTGAAGTCAATGCCCTCGCTGTTTAACTTTGAGCTTGTGCTGAAAATCACAATCGTGACAACCTCAAACAAGACTGAGTGAAAACATCGCGAGGACATCGGAACATTGAAGAAATACAACTTCAAACTGAACTTTAAAACGCCCCGCTCACACCACAGCACACAATACACGTGAACCCGACCCATGCAACCTTCACTTCTCCCTGCCTACTGCCCGCTCCACGAGCCATCACTACCCCATCGGTCAAGGCCCCCCACCTCCTCTCTGACACGACACACAGGGCCGCTGCTGTCCCGACTATCGACCGAAATCACTCGGTCTTCTTGGACTTGCCGTCGCCGGCGGCTGTGGCCGCGGCGGTGGCGGAGGCGGCCGACGGAGCCGTCTTGTCCGCGGCGGCGCGCTCCTGGCGCTGCACTTGGTAGTCAACGATCAGCCGGCAGACGAGCATGAAGAGGAACACGAGCGACGGCGCCGTGCGCTCGAACCGGTCGCCCACCGCGTAGTGGGTGTACATGGTGAACAGCATCATGATCAGCAGCAGGCAGTTGGCCGTCTGCTTCATCCGCTCTGTGGGGAGACAGGGAGGTCAGCAGAGTGAGACCATGCAGGGCACAGCATGTCAGGCAAATGAGGTTATCAGGTAGACTGTACAAGCCCTACAAATACACCTTTTTGGATTAAATTTGTTGGTTTAAAATTTTGTTGTGCAACAAACTTGTGCAAACTGCATGGATCAATGCCTTCAAAAATGCACACACTTATAGACACATGATAAATGGGTACTCACTGAAAGGTATGAAAGCCAGACATGCTCCACAAGAGATCTCCAGCCCTCCAACAAAGCTGCGGTACTGCTTGCTGTGAATCTTGATGTTGTATGCCTTCACAAATGGAATGACTTTGGAATACTTTACAAATTCTCGCTTCTGAAAAATCAGGAAGTCTTGGTGATGTCTAGTAAATTCTATTTATGTAGCAAACATGAAAAAACATAGGACCTAAACACATTATGTTTTTTTTTTCTCTCTTAACCCTATTAGTGGCAGGGGGGGGGGGTTGTTTTTATCCACCCCTCAGGTTTTTCGGGAATATCTCCGAAACCGCTGAAGCTACGATGCTGAAATTTTCTGACTTTTCCTAAAACTAAATTGGGCACATTCCCTGAAAATTTCAAGTTCATAACTTTACCAGGGGCGGCTCCAGAGCACTGGAAATTGGGGGTCCTATTCGTGAAGCGAGTCATTTGGGCGAAGATCACGATGCTGCACCAGTTTTACGAACAGTGAATGAAAGGTATCATGTGATAACATATACAAAGTTATTGTGCATCCTCTTTTGACACGTTTTTGCTATAATAGGCGGATCCAGGCGTCCAAAAAGGGGGGTTATTTTTTACCTCCCAACATAGGTGCCCTGACACCGCCTATGCATGACCAATACAATTTTAGTCGTTCTCTCATAAGAAAATTGTAACATAACAAGACCATTGCCACCCTTTTTAGAAACAGTACCAACAAAAACCTTATTTACTATACTTTTTGTGTACCCCAATCTCAATGATCTGTATCCGCCTATGATTTTTGAAAATGCATATTTTTAGGATCCATGTGAATTCCTGGTTCATTCTCTATCGATCGGCAAAAGTTGGGCTAAGATTGGTTCAGAAACCTGGCCGTGATAAACAGTCTAAAATCAGTAGGCGGAACTATGGTCAAGCGTACCCATTTTCGGGAACGCATTTTCGTTCCCATGTTTGGGAACGATAAACCCAAATATGGGAACGCCATGTAGGCATTATTTAAAACAAGAAAAAGAACCGTTAAATGACGTCCAAAAAATATAAAACGATCGTGAACCGCCTGATATTTGTCTCAATATTGTTGGGAAAGAGTTTGATATTGTAAGGCCCATCGTAGTTTCAAATTGTTCCCCTATTTCTAAAGCAGTCCATCATCCGGGCCGCGAGCCCAAATTTGGGAACGCTCTCGTACACTGGCGCTGCAAGCGTTCCTTATTATGGGAACGGCGTACCCAAAATTGGGAACGATTTCACCGACGCCTTTCAGGGGCTCTTTTCATTAACAAGCATCACGTCCAACGCCGCAAATTATTGTTAACGCAACAATCATTAGATGACCTTTCCGGCAAGACCGTCGCATGTTTCGCCCGGTCTTCTGCGCTTTTATTCCCGTCGATCTCGCAGCGGGCACGCCCCCCTCTGCAGGATTACGTAATTCACAACGCTCAGCGATGTTCAACAAGGTCTTCCATACCTATATCCACCGTCCGCGCTGAGGGTGGAGACATGTCAAGCACCTGTCTGTTTATCACCGATAGTTGACGAGTACAAGGAAGTATCCAAAAATGGGAACGCTGAATATGTTACACCCTCAAAACACCTAGTCCCAATGAAAATCTAGTTTTTTCCTTTCTTGATGAGTGTAAGTGGCAAAAGGCCTGGTAGGATGGGCACGAGGAATTATCGAAATCAGCATAAAAATTATAAATAAGCCACACAGAGCGAGCTATATAAGAGAAATTCCCCCAAAACGATCACGCTTAGAAACACGGAAGACAAAAACCACGCTCATGACGCTCCTTATAAAACAACTCTAAACAGCTAGCATCCAAATAAAATATGTCTTTCCGGGATGATAAAATACTGCTGGATAATTTTCAACCGCTTAAACTGAGTTTACAACAGTAGTTCGGTAAATTCACTCACGTTCCACGCGGTCGTCCGCCCCGACACAAAAGTCAACAATATTACCTCGGGACCGTCCGCGTCTTCGCTTGCATTTGTCAGCATCTGGTGTCGATAGTATGAATGTTCATAACCAGGCGAACATTATTATACTTTACCTCAAACTAAAAAATGCTTCATTTTCCTTAAAATTGCATGTTAAATGTCGTATAACCCATATTTCCACCATTCTGTCATTTTCAAAAAATCATTAAAAATATCATTCCACGGTCAATTTCCTTGTTCCACGGTCAGATTAAAGATAACTTTATGGAGATTTAGTAGATACTTAAATCAGCGTGCACTTTTTTGAGACGTGATGCACTTTTGAGTTTTAGTGGGAAAACGGCCGAAAAATTGCCTTCCGTTCTCATAAATGGGAACGCCCGTTCCCATATTTGGGAACTCCGTTCCCAAAAATGGGAACGTTCCTATATTTGGGTACTCATGACCATAGTTCCGCCTACTGAAATGTATCTGCAATTTGCCCGTTTTTACCCCCCTCTACCCCCCTATTGACATTTTTTAATTTTATTTTTTTTTAGAAATGTAGATCTCGTTGAGCCAAATCGAATGCCGTTTGAATTTTGAAAATCGGCCGGTTAGATCTCGAGATATCAAGGGGGGGTCGTAAACAGCCCCCCCCTGCCACTAATATGGGGTAGCCAGGAGCCTGCCACTAATAGGGTTAAACAGCACGAATACCAATACCTCCCAGTTATAATTATTTGATGCAAGAAGTAATACATCCGTCATGCAGTTAACATAGGTAGGAAGTAGGTAACCACTCACCAGCTCTCTATGAAGCTCTGCGTTGATTTTTGGTGTTATCTTTGTCAGTCCAACAAATATGAAGAATAGTCCCAGAAAAATAGATAGGGTCTTCAACACTAAGGAAGCCATATCTAAGAGCACTTCAGCTTTGTGTTCTGCAATTCCTCAAAAAGTCGAGTTTTATGAGCCTTCCTTGTCCTGAAAGGTTTCCGGCTGTTGTGTCTCGAGTCAAGTTATGGTGCAAAAGGATCTGCGAGACTGGACCTGTAAGGCTATGTTTTAAATTATATCTTGGACCAGTAAATGACTCAAACGAACGAAAATAATTTTCAGGCACTCCTCCTCATCCTCCTCTGTATTTAGGGCCTTGTCCTCCTCCAAGAGCACAAAATCCGCCACAAATGCCTTCTGCGTCGGTTACGCCATAGCAAATATTTCTCCCATGATGTCTTAGTGACGTCATAAACAATGCATAAATGTTTTTCATTTCGCAGAAACATTAAAAGAGTTTCAGAAAGAAAATTAACTTAATTTACAAATTTGATGATATTTGATCATTTCGGTTTGGTTCCACCTTCTTATAAGTAATAATATAAATATTTTTTGGACCTTTGAAGTTTGAAGTCTGGCATGTGAGAAATGACGGCATAAGATATCCGTGACGAATAGCTGCTGTACTGCTAAGTAAAGAGAGATTTGTTCCTAAATAATACTTATACTTGAAATTTGACGTTTGAAGACGGAGAAGAAAGACTTTGTTGTGTTTGTTGCATTCTTTTTCACAGTGGAAAGAAAAGAGATATCAGCATGTGGCAGTCCAGGAGAGGAGCTCGACGCCCTTCACCTCAGAAAGACATAAGTGGTATGGCACGATGACCATTTTGAATGTAAATGTCCATAAAAATTATAATTAATGTCCTAGTTTTATTACATGGAGCTGAATTCATTTGTTCCTTAAATGACATTTTTTATTAACAGCAGGATGCAGATCCAGGGTCATAAAATGTTGTACTTTTCCATTCATGGCATTGGTAACATTTACAGCGATACTAGTGCCGACAAATGGTTATTGGAGTCAGCAAAATGATTCTTTAGACTGTCATCATGCGATGGGTTGAAATGCGCGAAAACCATTTTGCATCTGATAGCTGTTTTCGGACGACGGTGAAAACAGGGCGCCTGGGGCGATTTGATCAAGGTTCGTGAAATTTACACGTGACGTTTGGCATATAGAAGGCCCTTGGAGCGGGAGAAGTTCCAAATGTCACGTGACTATTATGCCCTCCGGCGCCCTGTTTTCACCGGCGTCCCTGTTTTCTGCAGCTGAACTTCGGCCAGTGCTGCCATATCCATTCCACGGCATGTATAAGAGTGAGCCTAGATGGTGTCAGTGTATACATTTCAAGCAACTATGTTCAAAATTGGTTGAATTGTGTCATTTTATTTGTCTGATAAAGATGCTTTCAATGCAGGGCTACGGAAATTGAGTTGGAGTCTGAGTTGGAGTCGGAGTCGACAGTTTTGCCTGGAGTTGGAGTGGGAGTTGCCAAAATTTTACTGACTCCGGTTTCGGAATCGGAGTCAGAGTTAACGCTGCATGCCGTGAATAACCCATGCAGTGGTCGTGCCACATTATCTGAATGTCATCAACGGCAGCAGGTGACGGACTTGCTTATCTGCCTACATCCTGGTGTGCTGCGACTGATGTTCCCATGAATAATTGTGGAGACAGTGACTGAGTGATGACCCCATCAACTACCAACTGATCTCTGCTTTTTGGGCTATCACCAGACCCTGTGTAACCGTTGTGTGCCCATAACTTATGGCATGATGTTGATAACACCTTATTCATATCTGCGCCCTTTGTTCTCAGCAGATGCTTGGCGTTGACCTGTTGGGTCAGCTGTGACGCCAGTGCCGGAACGGCCGATAGTTGCTCCTTGTGACCGTCCTTTTGTATGTGTCCGTTCAGCGGGTCCACCTGCGACCTCCGCTGAGTTGGCGTCTGTCTGCGTCGTTGCAGAATACTCCCTATGGCACCTGCTACCCGAGCTGGTGCTGGTGAAGATATTCCGCATGCTCAACATGAACGAGCGCTACATCGCCTCGCTGGTGTGCTGGAACTGGGCGCAGGCGTTCAACCTGCCCGACGTGTGGCGCGTCTTCGTGCTGGACGACACCGTACTCACAAAGTCCAGGTACAACTACTACCTGGGATGGCAGGTGAGCACCTGAGACGCTGATTGTCCCGCTACATGGGCGCCGATGACCACTGCAGTCCGGACGCCCTAAAGCCCCAAATCATCATCAATGTTCCGATGTTCTGCTATTATTTGCGATTGATTATACGATTCTTCCGATCAGAAGCTAATAATGACCTACGTTTTATGTTATTGCACCCCAGCTCAGAAAATGTGCGATAAGGCGGGTCTGTTCGAAAACTGTTCGGAAACGGGTTCGGAAACTGTGGGTCTGTTGATACCTGGGGCATTCCACGATAGATCGTACCACTTTTTTCCAATTTGACACCCTCATCTCTCGGAATTTGACGAGAATTGGTCTCAGGGGTAATCATCAGGGGCTCTGAATCCACCTGTAACAATTTCAGGCTTATCAGATAAGTATTTTTTGAGTTATGGTGTATAACATTTTTTGGATCTTGCTTTGCAGCGCTAAGTTTGGCGGGCTGTAACTCTAAGACGGATTATTCAAATGCCAAATGTAATATAACATTGAACTTGCAATTAAACAGAGATTAATATGTATTTTTGAAATTTCGAAAAATACGGTATTTTTGATATATGACAAATCGAGTTTTCTTTCATTTGTATTTTTTGGACTTTGGGACCAAATTTTTTTGAATATTTATTTCTTTAAAAAAATATTTGGCTCATTGTTAAGAAGTATGCTAAAGATTAGGAAGGTGTTCTTTCTATAAATGTATTTATTTTACGTCACGATAACGGTTTCGAATAGTGATTTCGGGAGGGGAGCTTACAAATGGCGTAGTAAAGCTGCCTAGTGACATCACGGGTTACTGAAATTTCAATTCAAGTCTGAGTCATCTGAAAAAAGTGAAAAGAGGGTTCATTTAACCCTCTTTCCTATAAGCGCGAGGGTGAAAAAGGCTGTTTGGTTCTGACATTGTTTTGGACGCCAATGACCATAGCTGTCCGAGATGAAAGTTACAGGACGCATACATGGTGTCCTCCAGAGGTCTCACAACTTGTATATCTGGGAATTTTTCAAGGTTACATGAGGTCAGGTCGGTCACGTGACATCACTGTTATAAATCAATGGGGAAATATAAAAACTGTTATTTTGGCGCCGAGAATGATCTAAAACTATCCCACGTACATGGTATCGTGATTTCATGCACTCCTTGCAAAGTCCAATGCTTTACTTTTGCATTGTTAACCTTTCGTGACGTCATTTATGACGTCACTAGAGTCGTACGAGTTTTTCGTCAATAACTCCCGATCAAATGGAGCTAGAGGGTCGGGAAAGCCACCAATGGACTTGGGAAGACCTTCCGAATCGAATGATATGGCATATGATACCCTTTGCCCAGCTTCGTGACCTGAGGGGGTCTGACCTGACCTTGACCCGAGGTCAACTACTTAAGTTGACCTCACCCTAGCAAAAAGTATACCATTCGATGCACCTGAGCTAGGCGAACACAATGATGCCAAAATCGCGGCTCTGCGGCCATTTTTTGCGAAGTTATTTACTAAAAACCGAACCTGTAACTTCAGTCACGTGACCTGACCTCAGACGCTACTGGTTAACCTGAGACCTTAAAATCGGGTACCAATCGCTGCGACTTGTAACGGCACACACGCTCGTTTTTTCCGCGAGGCTCTAGCTCTATTAGAAGCGAAACGGCGTGCTGGGGTCTTATCAACCCCTCCGAAACCCATTTTGTTTGCGGGAAAATGAGGAACTTATAGAAAGAACACCTTTCTAATTTTTTGCATGTCGATTTGCAGTGACATGAAGATTATTTTGAAAAAATAAAAATGTGAAAAATTTTGGTCCCAAAAGTCATTAGAGGCGAATGAAAAAAGATTAAGGTTTTTGCTCAACAATGAAATTTTTTCTTTGGAATTTTTAAATGGTAATATTAATTTTTGATTCATCGCAAGCTTAGTGTTGTTTACATTTTGTTGGTTGCTTAACCCGTTCTTGAGTTATAGGCCATCAAACTCACCGTTACATACCGAAGTTAAAAAAATGTAATGCAATATAACTCAAAAAGTTTTGATCTGAGAAGTCTGATATTTTGCCAGGCGTCTTTGGGGCCTATGATTGCCCCTAGGACCGATTTTCATTAAAATCTGAGAGATGAGGGTGACGGACCTGGTACGATCTATCGTGGAATGCCCCACCTCTGCGTTTTTTGTAACAGTGCTCCTACTACCGATCCTAACTACCGACGCCAAGCATTGAACGCCGAAAAGCTCGTCCCAGTGTTTCACTCGGACCCCATCCACAGAAAACACTGGATCACATCCGCACGTCAACAGCGCTGGACAAGATGGCGCGTCACATCCGCACCCTGGTCATCCGGCCGATGGCGAACTTTTACAACATGTATTCGTTCATGAACGCCCTGTCGGCCTTCGCTCAGCGCTACCCTGGCTCACTGGACGGCGTCATCGCGCTCAGGTACGGGGCCGGTACTAGAAGGTACGAGATCGACACGAGAACAGGTACGGGGTAGGTGCGGGACAGGTACAGGAACGGGGTCGATATGTGGGGGTCTATATGAGGCTTTACGGGGTAGCTGGTACGGGTTCGGTACAGGAAGGTACGGGGTCTTTGGAGTTTGGGACGATTACAAGTCATGTTCTGGGTGGGGTGAGCCGGGTACAGTTCAGGTGCAGTCCGAAAACTCCGAAGGCATATACAGATCTGAAAATCAAGACCCCGGGATATGTGGTATGCCGCCGGTGAATTTTAGTGGTAACTGGGTGGCGTGACGTGTTTTAGTCTAGTCGTGTCTGCGTGATGTTTTTTTTCTGGGACTGGAAGCATAAAGTGTCTCAATAAACATTTTCATCAGTTTTTCGTATATCAATCGAATTCATTTGATGCCGTGGCATAATAGCCTGATAAAAGGTGAATCATGTCTGGTCTAAGATGAGAGATCTTTTCGGCAACTAAATGTGTTCGTTGCTATTACAAAAATGTATCCATATTCTATAGTTAAATTTTGCTCGTTTTCTCTGGTCTGAAGTTCAAAGACACTTGTCCTTCCAGTTCCAATTTGCTTTGCCGTGTTACCTTACCCTTTTGACCGGACATCTTTATTTCGTTTGTACTAATATGTCGCCAACTATTTAGTTGTTAACTATTCGGCCTACCAACACGTCGTTATACAACGATAACTCCGTATTCTTCTAGCCTCTTTTCCCATCAAACCCGCTCTTTATTAATCCACTCACTCCCTGCTGCTTCAGCTCCATCTGCCACCCCCTACCCCTACCCCCGTGTGAGTGCCTCTAACACCGTTCATGGCCGTGTGCTGGTCCGACCGCCAGATGAGCGTTTACCGCTATCACCAACAGATGGCGCTAATAGGCGGCAGAGGCGTGCCCCGCATGAGGCCGCGTCCCGCCCTCGACAGAAGCGGCAGCGGGCGGCCGCCGCGCCCACCGGTACGTAGCGCTTGCGGCTGGAGATGCGACCGCCGTCTGCTCCGCTTCCTAGATGAGTGATGTGTTTTGTTGGTGTGTTTGGAAACGCCTGAGCTGTCATGCGTGGCATATGGACTATAGCATTAGTTGTGGGCGCTCTCTACTGACCCAGTACGGTCTGACACAAAGACCCTATAAGTTTTACTTGAAGACATTTTCACGTGCGGAGGAAAGCTAACAGTCAGTTATTGATTATTGACTTGCTTACGGTTTTCACTTGAAAAAATCCACGTTTTCTCTTTTTTTTGTCGTTGGTGGCGGCTATCATGCCACATGTGCCATCTTCGTCACTTTCTTGAACAACCGCGCCCATCACCGGTAATCTTACAGATACTTTTTGACACGTTTTTTGTGCCCTCTTGTTACATCATACATGTCCTTGTTTAATCTGCCGACCCACCATACTGGTAGTACACATTTGTTTGTGAGTACATACCCCTCGCTCTGCCAATTCTCAGATACACGTTCGTGTGCACGCTGGCTGAAAAGGAGAATGACGAGGTGTTCGGGACGGGCGGCGAGATTCTGCGCTCTCTGCAGCGCCTCATGGGTCACCTGGCCGGCCTGCGTGACATTGAGCTGGTGGATCTACTGCTGGAGAGAGTCGAGGGCATGCACGCACTCGACCAGGTAAAGATCGCGCTCGGGTCGGGTGAGGGGTCAATGGATCTCCGCCTCCGCTGTGGCAATGCGGGGGCTGGTACCTAGAGAATACTGCTAGCGGAGGGAGAGCCTCTTCGACTTGTTCACCATTTGTAGGGAGACTTAAGGGATGTGTGCATTCGGGTGGTAAGCAAACAGTGTGATTTTTACGGATTGTGGTTTGTGTACCGCGCTGAAAACTATGTTTTGTTTAGTTATCTGCAGACGGTATTTACTGTGGAATATTACGATTGGCTTATCCGCACGGGCCCAAGCCTAGATCTCCCTTGCCATTACGTCTTGTATCAGGCGCCGGTCGTCTCCATTATGTATATGTCGGTCCCAGTACCCGACCCAGTGCTGTAGCCGCCGCCGCCCGCCTCCGACAGGTATCTGTGGTGTGCTGCGAGACGATGCGGGTGCTGAAACTCATCAACATCACCAAGTTCCAAGTGGAGCTGCTGCACCCAGGCGTGTTCATCAACCTGCGCGAGCTGCACATCAGCCCGCAGAACTTGGGTGACGACCTGCTGTACCTGTTGGCCGAGAACAAACTGCGAAACCTGCACCTGGTGAGTGACGGGACAGAGCAGGGTTACCGGTCAGGGCCGCACCGGACTGCCGGTGTGGTGCACTGTGCCGTGTCGCTTTCGGCATGTTGTGTGTCACTTAACAAGGTTATACTGGACACCGGATTTGCGAAAACAAAACTGCGCAACTTACAAAGAATGAAAAATGACATACATGACTTACAAGCTCTCACCGCTCTTGCCCGTGGCGGCTCCGACTGGTTATTTTATTATCATTATTATTATTACCTGTTTTTGTTTTATGGCTCAATGAATAAAATAAAGTTCAGGTTAGTGTTTTACTAGGCTACTCCTTTCTGCCCGTTTTAGATTCAGAACGAGCACACAGAGTCGACGGGCTCGGTGGGCCGCCGGAGCTGGCGGGACGCGCGGCTGCGCAACTCCCGTCTGCGCGTCCACCTGCGGCTGGAGGGCAAGCCGCGTCACCAGGAGATCATCTGGCAGCAGGGCGCGCCCGTCAAGTCCATTCTCTATCGCTCCCCGTACATCGCCGTGAGTGAGAGAGGGAGAGGAGAGGAGGGGGATGAGAGCGGGCGGTGGGGCGGGGAAGGTTTGTGTTTGTTGCTTGTCTAAATTGGGTCGTGGTTAAGTGAATTGCCTGAGTGGCTGTTGTGGCTGCTCGTTCATTTTGTTGACCGCCAATACCCTCGGTGGCCGGTTTTTCGTCGTCCGTGACCTGGAATTATAGAAGACGGATGGGATTGGTAACACAGATTCTACCCACGCCAGCCGAGCAAGAGACTGAGAGCTCACCCGGCCGGTCCGGCGGGTGCCGCTCACCTATGTATTCTCGCCCGTTCCCGCCCGTCAGCTCACCCATTCTTACCAATTCTCATCCTATCTCAACTGTGCTCAGCCGCTCTCACCAGTTCTCAGTCGGGAGCGTGGTCACCCGCTCTCCCCGTTCTCAAATCTCACCGTTCTCACCCCCGCGGCAGGTGAGCGCGGTGAGCGTTCTCACCACCATCGAGTACTACGGCACCGACCTGGAGGTGTACGGCCACCTGGGACTGCCGCGCTTCCACCGCAGTGCCAGCTTCCACGAGCGTGCCGACGGTGCTCTGGTGATGCTGCTGCGGCACTGTCCGCTGGTGCACACACTGGTGAGTGGTGAGGCCGCGGCGGCGGGGAGGGGTTCACTCTGGCGTCCTACAGGGAATGGTGTAACATGGCGCTGTCATAGAGTGCCTAGCAGCCCAATGAGCCGCTCGATCTTGGTACAGTAGCCTATTTGTGTCGTAGAACTGATATGAACATACCAGGAAATGGGATTGGTTTGGGATTGGTCTCGTAGGCTTTTATATAAGCATTGTTTTGTGTGTAGACGCACTGTGCGGAATGCAGGGAGATGCTTTATTGGTACACAATACATTTTGTATCAGTGGCGATATTGCTACCGGCGGGCCCCAATATTGTTTTGCGTTCCACTGCCACATTTCTACATAATGCTGGCCGTTCGTTATGCCAGTCATTATCTATTGTCATAGTCAATATTATGGATGAACATGCACAGCAAATATGAACTGTTGCTTAATATCTCTGTCCCTGTCCGCACCCGTCCCGCCTGTACTCCGTCCTTTATTACCAGGCGCCCGTATGTGGTCTATTACCGCCGTCCGTGCCGCGTGCCGTCCCGTCTCACCCCTCCCCTCCCCTCCCCCACAGGTGGTGCGGGAGCGCATATCGTCTGCCACCGTGCTCCTCCTGGCGCACACGGGCAAGAACCTGCGTCGACTGTTCGTACGCGCCAACGCGGTGCTCCTGCGAGCCGACTGGCCCCGCAGCCCCGAGTGGTCGCCGCAGTTCTACGACTGGCTGCGCTCAGCCGCCCGCTCGTACGGCCGTACCGAGGCGGAGGTGAGCCGTCTGCTCGGCTACCCCTGGTGCTTACTCTCCGATAAGGTGTTCCGCGCGCTACGGCTCGATCTGAATCAGAGTCACTATTGGAACACGTGAGGGTGACTGGTGGGGTGTGGCGGTGTGGAGGGACGCTGCTTTGTCGACGAGGCTGCCAGCTACTGGCGCCGCGCTGGCTGGTCGGTGGGGACTTCTGCCAGCGCCGCGCTGGTTCGTTAGCGCTGGTCGGTCGAGACTAAAACTGCCAGCGCCGCGCTGGCTCGGTGGTCTGGTGGTGCTACCAGTGCCGGGCTGGTTTGTCAGGGCTGTTTGACCGGCTGGTTCGCCTACTGCCGGTGCCAGGCAGGCTCGTCAGTGCTGGTCGGACTGCGCTGCTGGCGTCGAGCTAGTTCGCTAGCGCTGGCCGGACTGGTTCGCACGCGCTGTTCGGGCTGTGCTACCGACTTTATGCTGCCTTCACGGGCTGCACAGCTGTGTTGGGCACTTGTCAGTGACGGGACAGAAGGACTAAGAGGAGGCACCAACTGAGCAGACCCCGTGCCCCGCATACCGTCCTGGCCGGTTCGTGTCTTGCACCGAGCGAGCAAGACACGGACCTCGTCTTGCTCGCTAAATGCAAGGAATAACGAATAAGTCTCGGAGTGTGTAGCGACAAACAGGGCTACTTCGATGAGTTGTCGCTTTGATAATTGTTCATGCTCATCCTATGTTTGATGACTGGACGAATCGTCTCGGAGACGGGAGATATCGTGTGCGCTTTGAGTTTTCACCCTGCCAATTTCAGGATAGTTTGAAGTGTGGTGATTTTTGTAACAGTAATTTTGTGACAGAGATACCTGAATGAATAGTGGCTGTGACAGAATACTGCCCCGGACTGTGCTGCAACCCGTTTTCATGCTTGTAACTCCCCCGTGTGATTCTGACGTGCGATAGTCGGTAAATGGATTCTCCCTGTTTTGTTTGGGTTTCTGACACGCGTCGGCTGTCCGGTTTGTGAAACTTCAAACAGTTTGTGCGCCGAAGTTTCGGCGTCCTACGGACATGTATGACGTTGCCAAGGGTTAATGAAGACAGCTAATCCCCAGAGAACGTGTTTATCTTAAGGTTCAATTATCGCGCTCTGCGTGATGAATTACGATAGTATGCTGCCTTAGCTTCCAAGCGGATTCGAGACAGTACAAACATTAGAGTGTTAGTCTGATTTCAGGTTTATCAATATTTCTAACGCCTTTTCGTTTGCTGATCTGCTGATATCCCCTATGTAACCACGCCAGTTATGGCCGTAAATCTGATTTAATGCACGGCTCTGACGCATCAAGGCGGCGATTCTACAGGCGAGTTCTTTGTGTCTGATTCTGAGTGACTCAGCGACATTCGCCGTGAGGTGACGTTCCGGATTTCGCGAATCGGCTCTAGAGAGAAAAGGCTCTTTGTTTCATCTACGTCACATTAAAGACACATTGCAGTACAACCCAGATAGCCAATAAGCTCGTTAGAAGTGTTGGCCAGTCGCCATACAAGCACTGGGACTAATCAGAACTAATTTGGAAAATGGACGTGGATCCAAAGTTCAAATAACAGCACTCTGATTCATGTGGCATGAAAGGCATGGCGACTACAGATGTTCGTGATCCCACTCCGTAGAATTTGACGGCATTCACTTTGGCATTAGGATGTTAGTTGATCTCGGTCAGACTGCGCCAATGCGGCACGTAACCTTTCCTGTCTTGCCGCTAGATGGCAGGAGCAGTCGACGCCTGTAAGCAGACTGTGCCGGAAAACTCGGCCTAGCCCCGAACGCCGTCATGCAACGTTGAACGTCGGAGTAGGGTCGCCGATCAGGTTACAGCAAGTTGAGGAGATTAGCACCATTATAAAACAGTGTCAATCATTTCAGATACCGCTCGGTAAGCAATTTAATTTTTCGTGTGTTTACCTACCTTGTAAGTAACGTAACCACAATCGACTTCAGAGGCGGAGCGGAGAGCACGGCAAATATCTGTTGCTGACCGAGTTAGTCGACCTGGTAACCGAATTCGACCATCCCCAGACCAAATCGCCTTTATTGGTCGGATGCTGTGATGGATGGGAGCGACAGCCGGTGTCTTGAGAAGCCGGGAGGAAGGAAAATGGAAACACCGCGACCCTCCATCCCGGTTTTGGACGCCGCCCTGCCGTGCGCCGCTAGATTACCGCTTGACTGACGCTGCTGTGCAATGGGCAATACGCATTTTATGCCAATTTGTCTTGCTCTTGGCGGGATGTTTATTGTTTTCCGGTAAGTTAGTCATTCGGGATTTCTACTCGGCGGAGTGGCTCGGCATACTTTGCTGGCGGACCACAAAATCAACCGCCTTTGTCTGTAGTCAACTTGATTCCGACGCCACGTTGGCTGGACGATTCAATTTTCGTGGAAACCATCGGGAGCCACCCGATATGGGCGCAGGGTGCGATTTTATTGGTGCCGCTGGCCGGGACGACACATCGAAACAGCTGCCGACAACGTACCGGAAAACAGTGCACGCTACACAGCCGCACAGTGGGTCAGACTGCGTCAGTAACATTCCGTCTCAGTGGTCGCGGGACCGATCTGAGCACCTCGCAACAGATGGGATGCACCGGAGTCATCGCACACCCCACCTCTGACGCGGGACCAGCCTCTGGAGACGGCGCTCCGCACTCTGGGGCGAGGTTCGGCACCGGTCACGGACCCAGCTCAGACAACGGTCCCCACATTATTACCAACTGATCCCGGGGGCAGCCGCCGGCACAGCGGAGGTCATCTGACTCCCATGGGCGCCGTGGTGCGGGACGGCAGCGGCTCCGGTCAGTGGCGGCGGGACCTGCCAACCTCACTGAGGCCGGCATTGAGCCAGGCAACGCTGTGAAACATGCGGCGGGTGTGCATGTGGCGGATGAAAATGCCGCTATTTAGGGTAATTTAATACCTATTCATTATTTTGAGGTAATGAAAATTAGGCAGTAGGCGCCCTTCGCAGAGGAATAATATTATATTGGAAAGTTATAAGACACTGCAGCATGCACAGAGCTGTAAAACTTGTCGGGATGCTAATTTTTTTCCAAGTGAGCAAATTTGTCCTTCACCCTTCCTGGACGAGGGAGGGGACTATTGTCACTGGTTGACGTTTTCCCGCGATTTATCAGAACAAGTTGACGACATACGTAGAGCTGAAACTCTTTTAGTTGGGTCTGCTCTTCTTTCTCCCCAAGAAATGCATTATCAGGTTTGTCTACTGTGATATGGTCCTTGCGGTTTCTAAGCAAACTGTCTCGTTCTCATGAGTGTTGTAAAGAACACATTACTTCATTCTCCCCATCTGACGGCAGTATAAACTATAAATCCCTTCGAGACTCATGACGTCAATCATTCTGAGACCACCGAAGCGCTCGTACAGCTCGCCCATGGAGCACGCTTCACAAGTTAGCAACGCAATCATGACAACTTCCACGGCGGTTCTCCAGGGATCGGGCGCCGGTCGGCCCGTCGATTCGACGCTGCGCCTTCATCGGCACCGACGACCGCCGGCGGCGGCTGACGGCGGCTCAGTGGCGCGGCGCCCCATGCGGGGGCAGGAGGGGTATTGGTGGTGCGCCGCCGACGTTCGTCCCTACGACGGTGGACGTGTGTGCTGCTCGGACGTGCTTTCCGGAGGGAGGGAGCGGGCAGCTCTGAGCGGTGCGGAACTTCAGGGAGTCTCGAACAGGATCTCCACTCCGGGTGTTGCGGAAGGTCATTTGAGTCACGAATGTGACAAAGTCCGTCTATGTGACGGGCGTGATAGAGGAAACGTGACACCACCGCGGACCCGATGGTTGTGTCTTAGACGAGTTCGCATTGAAGCGGTCGGTCCGGGCGCGACGACACGAGGAACAACGCAGACGCCGGAGTCAGTGGAAGACGGTCCGAGAAGGACGGTCCGTGGTCTGCTGAGGACTGTCTACGGTCCGCACAGAACTTTAGCTTAGACGGTGTGTCGAAGACAGGAAAAAACTTGTGATGGAAGAGAGGTGCTCATATCCTTGCAATGAGAAAAAGCTGGGAAGCACAAGAGCTGGAGGCAGCTAAAACGAGTGTAAATGAACGGCATTGGCTTCTTGATTTACGGCGAGTCTCGAAAGATCTGTGCATAGTTAGGTACCGCTAAGCTGTGAAATGCGGTCTGCGATGATCTGTGCCCAGCTGAGTTTATGTGAGCTCCGATTAGTCGTGGTGCTCAACTGTGAGCACCGATGAGCTGCAGTGCTCAGCTGTGAGTTCCTGTGAGTTCCAGTGAAGGCTGTGCTCATCTGTGAGTTCCGGTGAACACCGACGAGCTGTGCTCAGTCGTGAGCTCCGGTGGGCCCCGGCTGACAACGGAGCGGTGCCGAGCAGAAATGAGGACGGCCCGAGTCCTCTGGGCGCTCATCATGTCGACTGTGACCCGGGCAGCTCCAGGTGAGACAACCGTGCGATGACGACACGCCTCAATCAACAGATGGCACGTAGGGACACCTGTCAACCGGCCGGCTTATAAGCATTATGAATGAATTAAGAAGACCCAGGCTTGGGCACTCTTCAAATTACCAGCCGCTGTATACTCGTAGTCGACTACAGAATGATGTTCCACTTTTCACAGGCAATTATTTGCCTGGAGTGGTAGGCTGTGCCACATCACATGGGCTGAGTTAACAAATTATAGCTTTGTCCCAATGTTCACAATCGACACGCTTAATTGCGTGATAAACGGCACAAATTAGCGCTCCGGTCAACTGATAGCTTCTGAGAAGTGGAACATCATTCTGTAGTCGACTATACTACTGAAGTGAAATGAAATCAGAGCCAAACAATAACGATAGATGTACGTATTCCGTAATGATTATGAATAAAAATTGATATATGGTAACATAATATAAGGGCAACCAAATACGTGTAGTCTAACTACAGGGGCGCACCTGTTGCTGCATAGCTGGGAAGTTGATCGCGATATGTGTGAGCTTTATCTGTGCTGATATTATTGATGCCAGCTAATCATGATTATGAAAGAAAAAAAAACTGAAGAAGTCAATTGTCCCATTGAGCGTCGTATCGAGTCTCGTGTTTCGTAGTAAGCAGCGCTGCGGTGGTGTTTACGTGACAAATTGGCAGTCCCGCAAGGACCTAAATTCACATTCAGGGACACCGCCAGCCACTTTCCCAGATAGGTAAAGCTTCTTTGTGATGGGAAGTGCGTTCTATAAAATATCCGAAATGTGGCACATAACCTTCCGACCGATCAATTAGGTCCAATTTATTGCATTTTTACGGCATCTTAGTAAACACGATCAAATCTTTCGGTAGGGAGAGTGACACTAATACTATGATAACGGTGACGTTTTGTGGCTCTGGTTCCATATTTAAGAGAGTTGCCGACTCCAAATTGAATTATAAATAGAAATGATAAAAGCATAACCTGTTTGCTACGCCTATGCTCATCTGATGATCTATCTTATTGCTCTGCCAAGTGCCAACTGTTAAATGATTTTGAAAAGCTTTCATAAATTTGAGTAAAAGATAACCTTATTGTTAATTGAACTTGAATTTAATAATTGTAAGTAAATAATTGATATTGACCTCGCGTAGGCTCTTCATCTAGTGGCAAGCATTCGATCGACTCAGCTGGTCAAAAGAAACACTGGTGATACTCAGTTAGGCTCAGTTGCTCCAACCCTGAATATAATTAAAAACCTCAAATGGAGAAATTTTTGCAACGTATTTAGTAACAACCTTATCACCTTCGCCGGCACAGGGGGAGGTTGATGCAACCTCCCCCCTAAGGTTTTTCGCGAATAACTCGCGTAAAAAACGGCCGATCGCGACGAAACTTTTATTACACTCACATTGATCAATTTTACACCTACCCTGAAAACTTCATGACCATGACCCAAATGACCTTTGACCTGTGACCTCTTTTCCGAGACCATGTTTGGCCGGAATCGCGATTCGGCGTATGTCGGCTCGCATTAGCCGCGCGTTTGCAAGCTTTTCGTGGTTTCAAACGTTCAAACATGTGATTTGATGTTGCTCCCATACATTAGGGTGGGTGTCAAGG